GGGGGCCTTGGGGTCCCGGGGCTGCCTCTGCGGGGACGGCTGGGGCGGCGAGATGACCCACGACTGCCGCTCCCGCATCTGCATCAGCAGCTCCTGCTGCACCGACAGGCGCTGCATCTCCTGCTGCAGCAGCCGCAGCGACGAGTTCAGCTTCTCGATGGACTTCGCGTGCTCGGCCGCCTCCCCTTCGCTCAGGGCCTCTTCCGAGGGGCTGGCCAGGCCCCACGGCTTGTCGGGGTCCACGGGCGTGGTGGGCGACTTCGGCCACTTGGCCGGGGGGCTCTCCTCGCTGTCCTTCGCGGCCGCCGGGGCCCGCCCCCTCTGGCCGCCGGCCTTCGGCGCCTCCCTGTCCTTGGCCCGGTCACCGAACACCTCCTCGTCCTCGGCGCCGGCCGCCTCCTCACGCATCGGGGAGCCCCGCTCCCCCTTCTTGCGCACCACGGTCAGGAAGGCGGTGCGCCCCACCCTCTGCCTCTGCTGGGTGAAGGCGGCCTCCACCTTCTTCTTCTGGGCCTCGATGGCACGCCGCTTCTCCTCCAGCCTCATGCGCAGGTGCAGCATCTCGGAGGCCAGCAGCTGCGTGCTGTCCCGGCCCTGGGGAAGGCCGGCCTCCTCCGGGGCCTGCGCCCAGGCCACCGCGTGGGGGACGTTAAGCTCCGAGCCCTCCGGGGTGGTTTTCTGAGAGCTGCTGCCGCTGCTTTTCCCGTCCGTGTGGTTCAGCTTCCGGAACTTCTGCTCGGCGAAGCTGGTCATCTTCACCCCGGAGCTGGACGAGGCGCTGCTGCCGGGCTGGGACCGGGTGCTCACGGTGCTCGGGCAGGGGCTCAGCGCGTCTCGGGCGCTGCCGGCCCGCGGGTCACAGTCCTGCAGGAACCGTGGTGCGTCGTCCACATCCGAGTCCAAGCTCACGGTGTAGTCCCGCAGGGAGGAGTCCTCGTCCAGCGTCTCCGGAATGTCCTCGGAAGGAACGTGGATGCCGGTGTCCACCTCGGTGTTGTCGGTCACGGGACTCAGGGTCCCCTTCGTGTCCGCCGTGCTGTCGGGACTCGAGGGTCGCAGCTTGACGCTGGCGCTGAGGACGCCCCCTTCCTGGCTGTGGAGGAAGAAGCCGTTGGCGGTCTGGCCCGGCTGCGGGCTGCAGGGAGGCTTCTCGGTGTCGTGGATGATCTGCAGCGCTTCCTCGATGCTGGGTGTCTCCCCCCGGCTGCCACACTCGTCGAGAAGCGCCCGGCTCCGCCCGGCTCCGCGCTCAGTGGCGTCCGGGGGCCCCGGGGACCGCAGGTGGCCGGGGGCGCCCACGCCCAGCTCCTCCTCGATGCTTCCCGCCTCCTCTTCTCCATCCACTGGCTTGAAGGACAGACTTCTCCTGATGTTTCTAGACGCACGGCTGCTGCTCAGAGAGAGCCCCTCGTTACTGACAGAGCGGGTGATGCCTCGGTTTGCAGGGGGCCTCTGCGCGGCGCTTTCTTCATCAAAAGAAATATCGAATGACACGCCGTGCACCGATGATCTGCGACAGATGGAAGAGACAACCCTTAAGTGACCCGAACAGTGATTTCACGTCATCGAACAACAACCATTTGCCGTCACAGTTGTCCCCCCGGCTCTGTGAGGCCTGGTTCCGGGACCTGCTGGATGCCACCGTGCGAGGGCGCTCCCGGCCCCGACGCCGACGGCCCAGTACTGCCGAGCACCCTGCACGCCCTCCCCGGTACTTACATCGCCCCAGATTCCTTACAGCACCCAACACAGGGCGGATGCGACGGAAACAGTTGTCATGTTGTAGCATTTGGGAAGCAAGGCCGAGGGAGAAGTGTGCAGACGTGGGCGCGGGCGCAGGCACTGCCACCTGACCACGTCGCGCACGTCAGCCATGACCCGACCCTCGTCTTTTCTGCGGTCGCCTGAATCCACGGGTGCTGGGCCCGCGGACGCGGAGGGTGGCTGTACACCTCCTCTGCTCCCCCAGCTCTCAATCTTACTGTCCTCGAGGTGACCTTCCCCAGTTAGCCCCTTCGATCTCTACCACCTGCCTGTGTTGGCCTTTTCAAATGTAGGTGCTAATTTAGAGTCCACTGCAATGTGCCCAACCAGAAAGAGCCAGAGGGAACTGGCGCTTCTCGGCGACGCTTCTCGGTGACGCTTCTCGGTGACGCTTTTCGGTGACGCTTCTCGGCACCGCGCACACACGGAAAGGGGTTCCCTTCGCTTTTACTCACCGTTTCTCTTTGGGCCACGTCCCTATGAAGCCATCCACGTAAGACATAGACGAAGACCTTCTAATTCCTCCTTCAAATGGAAAAAAAAAAAAGTCACTGAAATCACGTACAAACATTTTAACCTATAGCAATTGAACAGATTTCACACATTTGAGGAGTCATTAACAGCACGAAAAAGTAAGTATGTACGGAGAAACGGAGATCGTTTTGTTGATAAAACGAGCAAAGAGAAACAGCTCAACCTTTTGGTGTGTGTATAACATTTTTCAGAAAAAAAAAAAAAGACTGCATGTTTCTGTTTCTTTACAGATTTGTCCTCCGTCACTTCCCGGTTACCCTGCGTAAATGGCATTTCCTAGGCTTTTTCAAATCTATTACCTGAGGCTGAAGAATGGGTTTGGGGACGTGGACGTCCAGAAGGCAAATGATGATGGGGATGTGGCAATGCAGCTCCTTCCACACTGCAATGTGAAATGAAGGTCAAATGTTACGTTTCGACTCTTTAACATAAACCTCACGTCGAATGGGTGAAATTAGAAACAACACTACGACCTCCGATTCTCCACCCTAAATTAAAAATAAGGAAACGTGACACATTGTTTAAACCCAGAGTGGCTGTGACGATTTGCATCTCTACGCATTTCACCTTTTACGAAGCGCCCGAAGTACTTTCAGCTACATCTCGGCGTTCTTGAGAGAGAGGATGTGCACATTATTTCCTTTTCGCAAATAGAAAACCAGAAATAAAGAGTGAAAATCAAAGTCGTCAGTTTGCAATACTCAGAGGAGTCTCATCGCGGAAGCTGCAGGTGTCACAGGCCCCTGCGGATCCCGGAGCCGCCTGGGCCTGCGCTCCCACAGTCACATCAGGGGTGACGCCGTCAGCCACCCCGGAGACCTCGACACCCGGACCTGAAGGACAGAAGCTGTCCCGTGATTCCTTCTGATTTAAGTCCACCCGATTCCAGCTGACACAGGGGATGAGACAGTCCATTCTGCAAATTATGACATCTGGCCAGAATTTACTCTTCCTGGTTCTAAGGTTTAAGTCTGCGTGGCCTGCCGTGCAGCCAGGTGCAGAAGCTAGCATCGCCCCACGTGTCGGGGACAAACTGGGGAGCGGGAGGCGGTGCCTGCTGTTGCTCTCTCAGGCCACCTCATCTCGGCGACCTGACCGAGGCAGCGGGGACTCCGAAGGCGTCCCGTGTGGCGACTCAGAGAAACGAGGGGATCGCGCGGATCCCGGAATGACGGCGCACGGTGCGCCCCCCAGGAAAGGGGCTCGGGGTCCCCCCCAGGTTAGAGAACGCTTGTCTGCAGGGAAGATGGAGCAGGGGCCCCCAGGAGTCCGAGCGCGGGTCCTCGGGAGGGAAGAGGGACTTCGCCGTCACCCGGAGTCCTAAACGCACGAGCCTGTGCGCACGGATCCCGAAATCACGGAATCACCCGCCCCCGCAGCAGAGCGCTTCGGAGGTTTTAAAGCCTTAATGGCCCGAGTCACCACCTACAACACTGGCCGTTTTCTGAGTTTTCGAGGAAGTTCACGTCACAATGCACGCAACCCGGGGCACACTGAGGAAATAACACGTAGGAACAGCTTCCCGTGGGAAAAAGGGAGACGCCCCGGATCAGCACGGCGAACTGTCACCGTCACGCTCGGGTAGCCAGGCAACCGAAAACTGGCCGCAGGCAGCGACTCCAAGGGCGAGGGGCGGAAATCGCTTCCCTGACCCGTGGGAATGCTCAGAGGCAGCTGTGGGCTCAGGCTCCGGGCCCAGGGCCGGAGCCCGCAGACGCGGGCAGGACAGAGCGAGCAGGTGGCATCAGGGTGCCCGCTTGGCACTCGGGGACGGACCCCAGGCCCGAGGGCCGGGCATCGCCTTCAGCCCGAGTTCAGTCCCACATAAGGCTCACGATTCATTCAGAAAATACTTTCAATTTCTCACTCAGAATTTTTGCGGCGTATTTGAAATGTCTTGAAGTTCAAAGAAAATGAGACTCATAGAGCATGAGAATGAGAGAGAATTTCTAAAAAAAAAAATCCCACAAAATAGATCATTTTAAACTTTAAAAAATCAGATGATTAGGGAGTCCAAAGTCAATATAAGTTTTAGGTTCTAATAAATACACATGGAAAGCTGCTTACAGGATCTGCTAAAAAACATTTTTAAACAAAAGGTCTCCATCATATACTTGGGTCACGAGTCAGGAGTATCCCGATATTAAATTTTTACTTACTATCTCAACAGCTCTAACAACTAGCAAATAAAACAATAGGGAAAACTGCCTCAAAGCTTAAACAAAATCATAAAAAAATTTAAAGATCTAAACAGAACTTAAAATTTCCCACCTTCGCCTACGCGGTTCTCAATCAGAAACGATATGCAGCAAGAGCTCGGCTGGTTTCAGTTACGTCGGCCCTGTTCTCACTTTTCAGTGTGATTCATAAAACCCTATTTACGAAACATTCGTTTCGGTGTAAATTTCAAATGCATTTCCGTTAAAACAGCTTTGACTAGGGTAAGCTAATGAAAACATTTCGTTCGAAGTCCGAGTGATATTTCACAAACTCTAACGTGGTATGTTTAGTTTGAGTTCATTAGCAAAGAGAAACAGCGGCCGTGAAGTCATTGTTACCTTGACGTCAAGTCAGAAGCACACGAACTGTCCCAGGCATTTCTCTTGGCAGCGTTCAGGACAGGGGTTGAAGGCATGTCATTCACAGGCTCAGCTACGATGAAAGATTAAAAAGCCCTTCAAAATTACATACTTAACATGTTTCCAACATTATTTCAAGATTTCTGAACCACAAATAAAAGTTTAACTCGAATCTCAATTTCCATGATTACTTAGAGAAATCAAGGCATATTTAAAGCTATCTTTTAAAATAGATAAAGTATTGTTTTTATCTATTTAAAAGATAAAATATTCTCTCAACTCTTTTGAAGTGTTCCGGCTTTAAAAAAAAATTCACTTGATTACGGTTAACTGGGAGAAAAGGCCTAACATAAAAAAAGTAGAGATATTTAAAGTAAAAATAAATCGGTCTAAGTTTGCTTCTTTATGCAACAGCTGGTATTTTGGCAATCGAGGAGAGACGGACGGAATTTCATCGGTTGACGACGAGCCCACTGCAATGGTTCACGTTTCTGTCAATAACTCTGGGGAGGGCTCGCCTGGCTCCCTGCCTCGCTGGCCGCCTGCAGTCGGCTCCTCTACGCACGAGCGACGGGCTTCCCCTGACTAGGATCGTCCCCTCCTTCCTGATCTTTGTCTCGTCTTTAATTTTTCTGGGGGGAGGAGGGTAGAGATGGGGAGAAATAAGGATACTGGGGAGAAAAATACCAAAATGTGGAGCCCAGGAAAGCAGCTGGGACGCACCGGCACCGTGTTTCGCGCTGGGCGGGTGGCGCCGTGGTGGGGACAGTGGTCCCAGTTACGCGGGACGCGCTGTCCCTGGGGCTGCACTACCAGTTTAGGGTCTTTTCCCTGTGGACGCAGACCTCTGGTTTGATAACGGAAGCCAACAGAACCCTGGTTTTCCTTTAGAGAAAACGCAGGAAGATTTCTGTTCTTTACGTCTAGGGATCTTTACAATAACCCCTTTATTTCTTATTTGTTTTCTTATTATGAGCAATCGGTGGATTATAATGCTATAATAATCACAAAACCTATTAGGTTTAAGTATACGCACACGCCTTTTTATGGTTCGATGGCAAATTCAAATGAGAAATTAAAGCCCAGCCGTAATTTGAATGGATTCTCGGTAACACTATTAAAAACTCGGAATCTAATAGGCAATTAAAGCGAGAATGGGGGTGAAGGACGCAGAGCAAATGAAGGGAGTGAACGGTGGAGGCTGAAAGTCACGTTCTGAGGCTTCCCTTCCAGAGCTTCGCCTTCTTGTTCTCCCCGGCATGGCCCGTCCCTCGGAAGTTCCAGCGACTCGATCTGTTAAATCGGTCGCAGTCTTGCGAGGCTCACGGCTGGAATGGGAAACGACAGCTTCTCCCCGCCCCCCGCCGCCCCCCACGAGAAGAACCCCGCGAGGCTGCGACCCTCCCCCGCGTGCGGCAGCAACGCCCAGGCCGGTCACCTGCTCGTGGGTGGACACGAGGCTGCACGAAGGACGGCTTCACGACTTCGAACCACCAGAACAGCTCGGCCATGAACACCAGGTAATTACTCTGTGGGCGAGAGTCAGAGAGTCCTCAGCCCCTCGGGGACGACGGTCCTGCAACGCGGTTGCTCTGCGTTTGGCCACAAGATGGCAGCAAAGAAGAAATAATTCTCCCAGTAACTACAGCTTATGAAGATCAATTCTTTCTGAATCTGTGACGACCGAGCAGCAATAATTCTGTTACCGTATTCCAGGAATGGCCCCAAATCATTTGGTGTACAGGCTTTTCCCCGCGTTAGTTTAGACGGCTACATAGTCGCGTTCCCGAACACCGTAAACTACACGGGACGCAGACACAGAACGGAGAAGGGCAGGTGTGTGCATCAACCCCGCCCCCAAGGCCTCCCACGCGCTCCGGAGAAAGCACCGTCGCGAGCTTGGTTCGTCCCCCTGCGGCTTCCTGCCTAGGTCTGGTCTCGAGCCCGGGGGCCTGTGGGGACCGTCCCTCCCAGACGGCGCCCCGCAGCGCCTCGGACGCGGGCCCCCCGCGGCCAGCCCCCCACTGCTGCCGTCGGGACGACTGGGCCCTTCTGTGCCATGGCTCTGCGTGCGGCTTCGTGGTGCAGGAGCAGCCTGAGCTGATGGCGTCTCGAAAACATGAAATGAGCAGAAGAACCTAACTTCCTTTGTCAAAGCGGCTCTGATGTTACTCTGCGGGCTTAGCGTGGCCAGGCCATTGTCGTATCCAGTGTGTCCCTTAAACGAAGCTTCCCTGTACCTTTATGGACGAAGCAGCATAGAGCATGTCTTCCAGGGTGAAGTGGCAACACTGGTTCAAATATTCTTGGCAAAACTCTTGGATCAGCTGCAGGTTGTACAGACTGTCGGCCAAAGACATGGTTTCTTTCAAACAGATATCTTCGAATAAGAAGAGAGGAAGCCGTGACTTTGGGTTACTTCCGGTAACACACGTCTCGCCCCCACGTCATAACTAGCGACTCAGCACAAACACACGTGATGTGGCATCTGTGTGACAAACACGCACACAGGAACCTGGGGTCATCACACAGAGAGGCCCGAACCACGCAGCAGTGCTCGACTACCTTCCTCAGGCTTCGCCCGTCCCTTAGGACAACGCTCCACGACCTCTCCCAGGTGTTGTCCTGGTGCTCGCCGCCCCCTCCCTGCAGGTCAGAGGCGTCTCCCGGGGACACTCACCCTCTAAGCGGACGACGCCGGGGCAGTAGAAGTGGATGAGGGCGGCCAGGGCGCAGCCGTCACTGCCGTCCTTCAGGAGGTTCTCCACCAGCGGGATGCAGGGCAGGTGCTTCAGCAGCGTCTGCTCCTTCCTGTACCGAGCCTGCGACACGAAGGAGACGAAGCGAACACGCGCTCAACGACGTAGGGA